GGCGACTGGGAGCAGGAAGGGGGTTCAGCCCCCCCCCAGAGGGATAAGGCTGTCTGCTCTCGGTGTCTGAGCTCCCACCGCTCCCACGCTGCGCTGTCCCTGAGCACCAATAACCCTTCTACTCTGCCAGCCGACTCAGAGTCCTGCCTGGCTGCGGATGGGGGTGCAGGGTGGAGGGCCCCCCAATGCGCCGTCACACCCAATAACGCGACCTGAAGGGCCGGCAGAGGAGGATCCCTTGGCAGTGGGTACCACGCCTCTTGGGCAGCCCTCTGATCGGCGAGCAAACCTGGCAAGGCGGGTTTTAGCCACGGAAGCTGATGCCCAACTAAACCCGTCGGCCTTTCAGGTGCCCACGCCGCCTCGTTTTTGCAGCTCCCACTAACACGGCGAGCCAGGACTTCTCCGACAAGGACGTGCTCCCCTCTCCCGTCCCGCACTGTCTGCGGGGTGACGGAGGCGAGAGCGCCACAAGAGATGCTGCTGTTGAGAAGACAAAAGGCACAGGGCGCGAATGCCTTTGCCCACGGCGAGGGTCGCCCTGGTAATCCCCACACCTCTAAGGCAGCCACAGAGATCCGCACACAGGCTCCACAGAGGCCGTCGGGCTGGGTACGTAATTTGCCCTTTGACTGTCTCCAGCAGTGGCCGCCTCTAGGGGCCGACACAGGTGGCTTGTGGCTGCTTTGCTTTTAAGCCCTCTTGTCTGTAACCAAACGCAGGGTCACGTGGAGATGCCGGCTCCCCGTCCATCTCCTACCTGCCTACAACGCCCATGCACAGAGACCGCAAGACAATCCCAGCCCCTGGACACGGCCGAGCCACGGAACGCTGTTGGGCGAGTTCGGTGACTCGCAGACAAGCCTGACCGGAGAGCGACCGCCCGGCCCCCCCACGACGAACGGCTCAGCGGGTGTCGGTCTTGGGGAAGTGCTCGGTCTTACCAGCCCCACTGGCTTCCGAGGACCCACGGCCATAAGGAGCTACGGGCCCGGGCGCAGCCCACTGGCCTCTGAGGTCACTAAGCCGGGTGACTGTAGGATTACACACGGCAAGAGTGTCAGACCGACAACAGACGGATGAGACCTTCCTTCAACGTTAAGCCACCGTCAGCAGCAGGGCGGCATTGTCACTGGGCTGGGTAACAGTCCGACCCTTTCGAACCGCGAGTCCAGGGAGCTACGGGTTTGAGATGCACCAGAGACCGAAACAGACGCGGCCGGTGCCCCACCTGCCTGTAAGGTTCTTACCGTGCTGTGGCCTTTCACCACAATGAAGCCCTCTTTGACATTGGTCACCTCCACCGGCCAGGAACTGTTGTTGGCTCGGATAATATCCAGATCCCACACCTCTGCCTGGAGGAGAACAAGGGGAGGTGAGTGCATACCTGCAGGCCTGGACTGACCCCCTGCTGGCTCCTTCTCACCCTGCGACAGCCCTCAGGCACCCTCTAGTCCCGCTGCCCGGGCAGCCCCGGTCCCCACGCGACGTCCCATCAGTGTTACGCCAACACAGAGCAGCTCTCAGACACAGCAACGAGGCCCCCAGCCACACGCAGCAGCCCCTACGGCCTCGGGCCAGGGATCCCCCGTCTGGTCCCGTATCCTGCCTGGGGAGCGTCAGCCAGGCCCAACAGCTGGGCTCTGAAGTGCGTACAAAGCAAGGGGGCAATCCTCAGCACAGGTGCTCCTTGGTGGTGGGATGCCCTCGGCCTTCAGGCTGGCGGGGGCCCGTCGCGACCAGAATGAAGCCGCCCCGCTTGCCGAGGGCCCCGCCTGCACATCGCGCCTCAGCGTCTGGGCAGGGCGAAGCCCCAGAAGCAGGCGTCCAGCTCGGCCGGTGACTGAAGACCCTGGAGATCAGCTAGACCAGGCCCCGCTCTGGAAGCCAGATTTGCAACCCAACCGCCTGGAGAGCGTAGCGAGGGGGACTCAGCACGGTGGTGGCCGTGACTTCCGCAGAGTAAGTGGAAAAGGGGAGGCCAAAGCCCAGAACCAGAGAAAAGTGACCTAATCCATCCCACCCAGCCTACCAGCTACCCCCGTCGGTAGATACCACTAGGAGCACCCGAAGGGGTGGACTCCCACCTCTTTCTGCCGGTTCTCCAGATACAAAGCCTCTCTCCCCCCCTTCATTGCATCCTGCTGTTCTTATACTCCACGGGTCGCTTACTCTCCTTGCTCGGCAGTCACACCCCTTCCTTGCCAAGTGCCAAGGGTTTCGCTGTGTCGGGGGACAGTGGCCGGGTGCCTCGGGGCGTACAACCTAAAGCCACGTCAACTTTTTCAACGCCCTACCGCGTTACAGATCTGGGCTGTGCTTGCTGCTCTCAGCCACATCGTAAGCATCGTCTGGCGTGGCTGCTTTCCAGAGGAATCCCTCCAAAGGGATGTGCATTAGCTGCATTCCCGCCCGCTTGTGTCCCACAGTTACATCCGCCTGTAGCTCCAGCCCTAGATTAGTTCTCCACCATATTCCTTGTTCCCAGCTTCTTCCCGTTTTGTGCCACCTGCGCATGTCACTCCCTCCACTGCATCATTGCGGAGCATGGCTGGTAGGACTCTACCTAGCAGCAGCACAGAGGAGACTCTATTCACGTTCCAGGAAAGATGTGGAGGCATTGGAGAAGGTCCAGAGAAGAGCAACACAAAGGATGAAAGGTCTAGAGAACATGAGCTACAAGCGAAGACTGAAAGAACAGGACTTGTTTAAGCTTGGAAAAGAGAAGATCAAGAGGGGACATGAGAGCTGTTTTCAGGTATCTAAAAGGGAGTCACAAGGAGGAGAGAGAAAGATTGTTCCCCTTGGCCTCTGACGACAGGACAAGAAGCAACGGGCTTAAATATCAGCAAGGGAGGTTTGGGTCGGACACTAGGAAAAACTTCTGCCTGTCGGGGGGTTAAGCACTGGAGTAAGTTGCCTGGGGGGTTGTGGAATCTCCGTCGTTGGAGATATCGAAGAGCAGGTTGGATGCACCTGTCAGGGATGGTCTAGAGCAGCAGTTCCCAACCTTTTCCACATGGGGACCCATTTTGACAATTCGGGAAGACTTGGTGACTCGCGGCAATTCAAAAACGGGGGGAGGGGAAGGGCAGAGCCACCTGGGGAGACACCTGGCAACCCTTTTGAAATGGAATGGCGACTCATATTTGGGTCCCGACCCATAGACCGGGAAACCCTGGTCTAGACGGTGCTTGGTCCTGCGGTGAGGGCAGGGGACCGGATTCGATGACTCTCGAGGTCCCTTCCGGTTCTAGGAGTCTACCATTCCGAAGGCGATGCGACTCCTATCCAAGGAACTCACTCTGACTGCTGCTCTACACAGACATTTCGTTTGCAGCAAGCTGAGGTGCAAACGTGCCACGCGCCAGCCTGCTGCCGACGTAGTGCCCCGGGGGCCCTTCCGCGTGCGCACTAACAGTGCCCTTTAGCCTAGTCCTGTCTGCAAGAGACCCAGATCCTCGTTAGCAGGGGACACAGGGACAGTTAGTGGCACCGGAACCGTGCAGGACAGTCACACCCCAGCTTGTGACAATGAAAAGTTTGTGCGGACAAGATTTTTATGTCCGCTCCGGCGAGTATCCCTCAGACCCAGAACCTACATTTTGACGCAGCATTTCATTCGCCACCCTTCCAAGTGAGACTGCAAAGCTACCGCGGAGAGTGGGCGCTGGGGGAGCAGCACATAACCATGTTCACACGCGGCTGTCAGAAGCCTTCTAGAAGAGATGATGCAACTCGGCTGAACATTATTCTTAGCATCTCCCTGGAGTTACTAAGCAGGCAGCTGCACGTAGGCATTTCCCATTGGCACCTAGGCACCACGGTGATGGGAGAAACACCCATGACAGATCTGGGACAATGGCACTTTAGACAGCGAACGTGTATTTCATTCAAACCTCAGTAACATAACAACCCACGGAATGTCTCCCATTTGATCACAATACAGGCAGTCCCTGGGTTACATGGATCCGACTTACATCAGATCCCTACTTACAAACGGGGTGAGGCAACCCCACACTAGCTGCTTCCCCCCAGCAGACCAGGGAGACGCGAAGCTAGCGCCCCCCCCTCCCAGCAGACCAGGGAGACGCGGAGCGGCTTTTCTCAGCAGACACCTCAGCTTGAGAATAAAGGACTGAGGGAAGTGAGGTGTGGGAGAATAAAACTGAGCTCTGGAGAAATGTTTGGCTAGAGTTTCCCCTACAATATGTACCAGTTCCGACTTACATACAAATTCAACTTAAGAACAAACCTACAGTCCCTATCTTGTACGTAACCCGGGGACTGCCTGTACCTGCTTCAGCTGCGGCCCATGGAGAGCTGGCTGGTCACGTAGAGCTAGAGTTCTGTTTCCATTCACTACAATACTCTGTGCATTTCCTGAGATGCTTTCCCCTGCAGCTGCAGTAATTCTATCCCAGTGGGAAGCAGAGGTGGCCGGAGGACCCTGTGATGGACTCATGGGAGTCACACAAAACGGATTCTCATAAATTGAGATCCACTATGAAGTTTGAACCCTCTGTACCAGATGGTTCAGTCTAAGCCTCCTTCTAGCAAACATGAGGACAAGGGGGATCCAGTGGATCTAGTGTACCTGGACTTTCAAAAAGCCTTTGACAAGGTCCCTCACCAAAGAACCAAACATGATTCTGGGCTGCATTAACAGGTGTGTTGTGAGCAAGACACGAGAAGCCATTCTTCCGCTCTACTCTGCGCTGGTTAGGCCTCAGTTGGAGGATTGTGTCCAGTTCTGGGCACCGCATTTCAAGAAAGATGTGGAGAAATTGGAGGGTCCAGAGAAGAGCAACAAGAATGATGAAAGGTTTAGAGAACATGAACTATGAAGGAAGACTGAAAGAATTTGGGTTTGTTTAGTTTGGAAAAGAGAAGACTGAGAGGAGACATGAGAGCGGTTTTCAGGTATCTAAAAGTGAAAGGTCTAGAGAGCATGAGCTATGAGGGAAGGCTGAAGGAATTGGGCTTGTTTAGTTTAGAAAAGAGAAGATTGAGGGGGGACATGATAGCAGTTTTCAGGTATCTAAAAGGGTGTCACAAGGAGGAGGGAGAAAACTTGTTCATCTTGGCCTCTGAGGATAGAACAAGAAGCAATGGGCTTAAACTGCAGCAAGGGAGGTTGAGGTTGGACATTAGGAAAAAGTTCCTGTCAGGGTGGTCAAACACTGGAATAAATTGCCCAGGGAGGTTGTGGAATCCCCATCTCTGGAGATTTAAGAGTAGGTTAGATAAATGTCTATCAGGGATGGTCTAGCCATGAGGGCAGGGGACTGGACTCGATGACCTCTCGAGGTCCCTTCTGGTCCTAGTATTCTATGAAAGGCTCTTGAGCAAAGTCAGCTGACCTGGGGTCAGCGGGAAGGTCCTCTCAGGGACCAGATAAAAGACAGAAAAAGGGGAAATAGAAATGGCCAGTTTTCACAAGGGAGAGAGGTAAATCGCAGGGTTCCCCAGGGGTCTGTATTGGGTCCGGTGCAGTTCAACGTACGTCTAAAGAATCTGGAAAAAGGGGTACAACTGTGAGGTGGCCAAGTCTGCAGATGATACAACATTACTCAAGAGAGGCAAGTCCAAAGCAGATTGCCAAGAGTCACAAAGGGATCTCACCAAACTGGAAGACTGGGCAACCGCAGGACAGATGAAATTCTCCACAAACATGACACACAGAACTGGACCTGTAGAATGAGGGGGCTGACTTGTCTGCTCCCACCCCAGAGAGAGACTGGGAATAGCACTCTGAAAACATCTGCTCAATGCGCCAAGACCGTCGGAAAAGCAAACAAGGTTCGGAACAGTTAGGAAAGGAACAGAGAAGATGGCATTTTTCTAGCATTGCCCCATGAGCTCTGCAGGTTGCGTCAGCAAGAGCCTCTGCCTACTGCAATCCAAGCGAGAGAAAGGGCAGAATCCAGCGGAAAGCCCCCTGATTTGTGCTCCCCACTGTGAATGGAAAGAGGACGAGGCACACAGGACTACCAACACCCCTCGCTGCATACCTACAGCACCCTCCCTCCTACGCCAGCCTCGGTTCATTAGCGAGGGAGGAGTCTGCTATTCCGCCTAGACCATAATCATCACGGGACCGTTCCTTCTTTTGGATCCCCCAAAGGAGGGTTACAATCAATGTTCCCTCGACATTTTTTCCATCCGTGGGTGGGATACACGTCCTATGCACCAACACATGTGCACCACCAACAGGAATACATGGTGTGGGCGCTCAGCTAACCAGCTGGGTGGCACGTGATTCTCCCCTGGGCAGCCGTCCCAGTGCTCAGCTTACAGGGAACACAGATTACAATCTCTCCTGGGACTACAATAGGGGATAATGTTTCAAGTGAGGCTCCTTACCCTGTCCTCGTGCAGCAGTGCCAACGTCTGGCTGGCCTCTTCGCCGCTCTCCTCATTCTCATCTGGGATGAAGGGGCACCAGATGATTCTCCGGAAGTTGTTCAGGGGGGTGCTCTCGGGGCGTTTTATGTTCACCAAGATCTCCTCTCTAATCAGCACGTTAAGGAAGACACGCTGGAGCTCAAACGCAATCCACGCACAGCGGATCCTGGTCGTGTCTAACACTTGCACTGCTTTTGAGTTCTGAATGACTAGCCACAGAAACAAGTTGCAAGGAGCTTGATGTGGGAGGCAGGTCAGATTACCTCCAGGGGCAAGATGGTGACATTTACAAGAGACATGTAGGCTGTGTCTACATCTGTCTACACTGGCCGCAAGTTCTTGCGCAAGTAAACTGATGTTTTAATGTGTGAAACCAGGGCTTCTTGCGCAAGAACGATGATGCTCCCGCTCAGGAATAAGCCCTCTTGCACAAGAGGCCAGTGTAGACAGGCAACAAGAATTTCTCGCGCAAGAAAGCCCTCTGGTTAAAATGGCCATCGGCTCTTTCTTGCACAAGAAAGCGTCTACACTGGCACGGACGTTCTTGCGCAAAAGCACATCTCTAGCGCAAACGCACATACCAGTGTAGACGCTCTCTTCTAGAAGAGTTCTTGCGCAAGATCATGCCAGTGTAGATGTAGCCTTAGATCCTTGTAAGTTTCACTTATTTTCCACCTACAGGAATGGACAGATAGGCAAGGCAGAGAAACATATCGGGGCACCTCAGAGAAACTTCTTTGGGTTTGTAGGGCTGGAAGTGGAGCTGGCTTTGGGTTTTATTATTCCAGCCAGCACTGGGCTATGACTTGAAAAAACAATGGCAAGAGATGGATAAAGCCCATCCCAAACACACAGAGGGATCCAATTCATACACCCCCACATAGAATGTAAATAATTACAAATGCCATGGGCCACACCAGTAATTTTGAAGGAGCTGTACTCATCCCCAAGAGAGGGGAAATTGTGATCCCGATGTATAAAGTAATGTGCTTCCTGGGAACCCTGAGAAATTAGCTCTAATTAGGCACAAGACTGGGAGGTACTAAAAGGTGTCAAATCTCATAGTTCAGCCAATGGAGGAGTAAACCCAGAAAGACTTCAGCCTGCACCGAGATCCCAGCATCCGCCCGCATCCATTACTCCAAGGTATCTAGCGTTAAGGTTTGAATTGTAACTGATCATTTTCTGTGATCCCTACTCAATAAATACATCAGTGCAGCTGCGAGCTGACTGGCTGGCCACCATCACATGATCCTTCACAGGATGAGCAAATGGACTCAGGCCCCGTGGCTGACAAACTCTAAGGGAAACAGGAGATAAACAGGGAGGGAAACCAGATAAAAAGCGGGGGTGGAAAGGCCCTGAAACCGAGCCAGGCTCTGCTGCTGCCTCCCAAATACTACTCGATAAGATACTGGATTTTCCCGTTGTCCATGGCCAGGTGCCAGACAAAGAGGCTGCCGGCCTCGTCCAGGCAGGCCAGCTGGTTGGAGTTGAGGTGGGCGAAAGCCAGGTCTGCCACGCCGCCCGTGAAGCCTTTCAGCAAGGTCCGTTCGGCAGTGCTGATGCTCAGCACCAGCACCATGGTGCGTTTGTGGGCACCTGCCGAGAACACAAAGGAGAGACGTCACCACCCGGCGCGGCTCTTTCCTCTGGGCTCAGACGCTACCTTCCGGTTTCCCCCCGGCCCCAGCCTGGCCCGCCAGGCACACACAGTGCTGTTCGGGGGCGAGCCTGTTCCTTCGCGTGTTTTTCTTTAATGACAGAATAGCTCTTAATTGAAGCACATCTGCTCATCCCGAGTCTGGGCCCCTCTCTGTCTCGGGGAGTGTCTGTGCTTACCCAGGCTGTTTACAGAGTTACCCTGGAGAAGCAGCCACCTTCCAGCGGGATGGAGTCAGGTCTTGTGACGTAGCGGGTGTGCGGTTCACTCTTGTGGCCCTGCATCCACTCTGGTTGGGCAGTCACTGGTTGCTGTGTGACCCTACTGGCCTACCCTAGTGGCCTATGCCGCTCTGCAGAGATGGGGTGTGCGTGTGTGTGTCTGTGTGTGTGTGTGTGCGCTGCTCAGTGGGGGGTGGTCCCTGACGGCAGGCACGTAGGCCATGGCCCGGCAACGTCTCCCCTGGCCAGGGGAAGGAGTAACTCATAAATCTCTCTCAGCTTTTGTTCCAATGCCATTAATGGGATCCTTACACCATCAAATGAGCCCAAAGCTAACTTGGTTGCAGGATGCAATCCTTGATAGATAACTTTTTTAAAGTCCGGAGTGTCGTACACTATGATTCCACCCCTCTGTACCCCAAGACCAGCCATCCAATACAGCAGCTTCTTACGCATCACATATAAATCTGGTATTTCATTATCTTTCTGCACATCTGAATAAACCTTCCCTAAAACATCCTCATTTGGAAAGTACAGATGATATACACTTTTATACAATCTCACAATATTCATATCATTCACTGTATCATACGGCAATGCCGAGAAATCTTCTAATGGCAAAAATTCTTTCAGCATAACAACAGCATCCTCAGGAGCTAAGTTTGGGGTTACACTCAGCTTTGCCAACCAATTCAAGATGTTCTCTCTATTACAAGGACCCCAACTTCTACTTATGGCATGAGCCTGCTCTGGTGAGAGAATCTTGCTCTCGTGTTTAACCACTGGTTGTGCTTGCCCAGGATATTTCACCACCGTGGTTGTAATGGGGGCCATGTAGTCATAGGGTCCACAGTCCCCTCCTCCATATGAAGATGGCTCTAAGGGAGCACTTGCCTGGACAGGCTCATCTTGATCGCCCAACCAATCAATTTGGTTATATTGGGAATGCATTGCTGCCATCACTCCCCTCGCTCTGCCCAATTGCTGTTGAAGCCTATCAATAGTTTGGGGGCAGGCAGTATGATCAGCTGGCCTCGGCTGATAAGCTCAGGTCTGTGAGCCCAGGCCGGGAGGAGAACAGCTGCTGGTGGGAACGCAGCACCTCTCGGATCGCTGCCTGCTGAGCCGGGGTAAGCTGGTCTGAGAGGGGGATTGTCCCCAGCGTGGCACCAGCCTCGGCCTCTGAGAGGAAACCCACCAGGGGATCCTCCCCCTTCTCCTCCCAGGGCCAGCACCAACCTCCCCCTGTCCCCGTACGGCTTCATCATACTGACAGTGCCCCCGCTGGCGGTGGCCCCGGTTAGACAGCTCCACCGCACAGTTTCCCTGGTTGACCTGTCTGACGACCTGGGAGGGGACGTCCCACGACACCTGC